TATATATATTGTTTATATATAATATATATGTTATTTATATTGCACTTTGTAAACTTTTTATATGAAGGAAATAGTTGAAAAAATACTTATATTTTTTGTTTTTCTTTGTTTCTATTATTATATTTTCTTTTCGTTATAATAATTTATTACTTTTTTTAAAAATTAAATTGAAACGTATCAAATTCGAATAACTGACATCTTGATCGGATTCGGGTTCAAATCAATATTTATGAGATCTAGTCGATTTTTTGGATCAGATCATATGTGAATTAGTATACCCTAATTCAAATCTGATATGATCTATTTGCATCCCTACCAAACCACTTGCCTATGATGACTTAGCTAATTAAATTATTGAACCATTTGACATGGTTAATCGGGTCATCTGTTAGACATTAATGCTTTTTATTTTTTTATCCTAATTTTTATCCCATTTTCTATTATTAATGAAAGTAATTCTCATTAGTCACACTTTTTTATATGATGAATATATAATATTATAAAATGTACTCAAAATTATGAACAAATTTCTACATTTTCTAGAATTTTATGTATTTTATTATTTAATAATAACATCCATTTGACATGAATAGCTTAACCACTAACCCATCACTTCAATGAAAAAATGATTTTTCTTTTTTGGTTGATTTTAAATCATGTATTCAATTTTCATCATCGATAAAAGTAATTCTTATTTTCACATTTATTTCTGTTTAATATGGTGAATATATAACAAAAGATTTGTATCAATATGCTTTAGACAAAGTTTATATTTTTCTTTGAGTTTATGTATGCATGTATGTATGTATGTATGTATTTAATATTCATTACTTAGTTATAACATCATAGATTTACTCATTTGACTCGGAATGTTAAATTATTGACCTACCTACCATCTATATATGGAAATGGTTTCATTTTCAAACTAGTTTTAAATTTTGCATTTCATTTATATCATTGATAAAATAATTATTATTTATCATACTTATTTTTGTTTAAATTATTAGTATATAATATCACCCAAAATTGTTTCATATTTTTTGTACTATTTTATTTTAAAAAAATTATTTTTAATTATACATCACGAGTTAACCTATTTGACCTGGAATGTTGAAACACTAACCCACCCCTAGATAGGAAGATGGTTTAATTTCCCATCAGTTTTAAGTTGTATATTTGATGTCCATCTTTAATAAAATTATGTCTATTTTATCATAGTTGTTTTTAATATGAAAAATATATAATAATAGAAATGTATCCATTTTTTTCAAATTTTTTTTTCTATACTTTTTTTGTATTTCTTATATTTCTAAATGTTTATTATTTATTTACGACATCATAAAATTATCCATTTGACCCAAATGGTTGAAGTACTTACCCACAACCTAGATGGAAAATATGATTTCATTTCTAGGTTTATTTTAAAAATATAAAATTTCATTTTATTAATAATTAGTGTATGAATTTATTAGTGGAATTTAATGATGATAAGCAAAAGTATTTTTATATTTCTAAATTTGTATTATTTATTTATGACATCATGAAATTATCCATTTGACCCAAATGGTTGAACTACTTACCCACCACCTAAATGAAAAATATGATTTCGTGTCTATGTTTATTTTATAAATATAAAATTTCATTCTATTAATAATTATTGTGTATGTATTTATTAGTAAAATTTAATGATGATAAACAAAAGTATAAAATGTTGGATTTAATGAGAGAGAATGCGATTTATTTAATGACTTAAATGTGAGATTTAATGAGAGGTAGTTGAATGTACTTAATGGTATTCTTTTAATTATATTTTTTGTCATTTCAATGGAGATGAACTAAATTCAAGAGGAGGGGTATTTTGGTAAAGAAAAAATACAGAAGCCAATACCTCATCATTCACACAAATATAATTTTATAGGTAATTTCTTTTCGATATAAAAAAGTATAATTACCCGAAAACAGTGCAATTTTGTTTTATACCTATAGTAATGCTAAAATTCAATTAATCTTGATGCACCAAATTTAAGTCTAAGATATAAAAACATTTTAGTGAAACATAGTAGGGTGTATGTTTGTGATCATGTTAGATTTTCATTCGGTTCATGAACACAATTCAGCATTCTAGATACTATTAGTATGGCATTGCTAGCTCTAGGATCAGAAATCCACGGTTCCAAAACCAACAAAATAACCTTTTTTTGAACATAATTGTCTACAACTTTCTCAATCAAGAAACATGGTTCACTAAGGTAAGCATAATATGGTAGTTGTATGACAATGTGATCAAAAGTAACTATATGCATGAGTCATACAATCAATGCTCACACATCATGTTTCAAAAAAGTGAACCTTGAACAAAACAACCTCTTTTGCATTGTGTGGTTCCCAAAAAAAATGTCTTTTTAGAGAAAAAGATTGATATAGCTTTGGAAATTTGGAACCTTACCACCCTTTTAGAACCATGAACAGAACACTGCCATAATAAAGAAGTCAGTCTCACCCAATTCCACTTCAACCTGAAGTCAAGTTGGGGGTTCAACAATTCAAGTTGTGTTAGGATTAGGGGTTCTCGTGGTTCGGTTAACCAAACCATAGGGTTTCTATTTTTGAAACCGAACTGTTCCTACCAATTTATCCATATCCCAAACCAAAACCAAACAGATACCACCGATTAACCGATTGACTGGTTCCAGTTTTTGATAAATTTGGTTCTTCAGTTTTTTGGTTTTTTATATTTATAAAATATATTATAAACAAATATGTATATAAAATATTATGTTATAAATACTAAATGACATATAATATATTATAAATACTATAAATATATACAATATATGTAATATATTTATAATATATTATATATTTTAAATAGATAAATATAAATAAATAATTATAATCATAATTTATGCATATATTTATATATATAATACATTTATATTTATATAATATATAGATAATATGTGAGGTATATTAAATATATGTATAATACATATAAATACTTATATTAGTTGGTTTGGTTAAACACTGGTTTTTTTCTAGGTTAACTAAAAATCGAATCGGCCCTTAGGCTTTTTAGAAATACCGAACCGATCGATTCAGTTAGCTACAATTTTCTATTTGGTTTGGTTGATTCGGTTCAATTTTTCAGTTTTTTATGAAACCCCTAGTTAGGATTGATCTCAACCCTCAACGGCTCAACTGAAACCTATCTTGAGTTGCACTTCTAAATCATTCATGTGATTGTTTGGTTTCTTCAGATAAAATACTTAAAACTTTTGAAATTGAAATATTTAAGTTATTAATTTTATCCTTTTTAATTTATTATAATCAAAAGGTTTGTCTTCATTGAAAATAAATCAAGGTGAACTACTAATATCTTCTTATTTGAATCATACAACATATTAAAGAGTACTGTGATATGCCTTGGATACACATGCATATTGAAGAAAAATAAAAATACACATAGAAACACTATAGATACTTCAATGACTCATAAATATACATTAATAGTGTTCAATAAATCACATGTTCTAATGAGTTTTATAAAAAGAATACATCATAGTCAACATATACGAACACACACTCAAATTTACCCTAGTATCTAACTATCATGTTTACACTTCTCAGTTCACATTCAAAATTCATATTTCTTGCTTCTAAGAGGCTACAATTAAAGAATTTACAAGAATTAAAGTGATAATTCTTTTGGTATTCAAATGGTTATTTAGTAATATTTTTTATTTTAAAAAATAAATAAATATTCAAAAATAATTCTTTTGGTATTCAATTTCTGTTTTTAACTAAATAGAAATCATAAATATTATCATATTATATAAAATATATTAATTTCTTTTCTATGTAATTTTATCTAGATTTCAAATTTCATGAAAAAACCCTATGTTTATTTATAAATTATGATCCTTAAGTTCTAAGGGATAGGAAAATCCCAATTATACTATCCAACCATAAAGCTTACATTATCACAACTTCTAAGTGAATATATAATTAATATTTATTTCTTATTTAAATAATAATTATTATGTATTTTTTACTTCAAAAAATTATCAAAATATTTTAAAATATTTAAGAAGAAACTTCAATTGATCTATGGATAGTGATAGATCATCCATAGGTCTACAATATACTCTCTCTCTCTCTCTCTCTGTCTCTCTGCATTCTTTTATTTCTGCTCTTTAGGGAATTCTACTGATGCTGTAGAATATTGGTCGATATGCTATCGATACTTACCAATACATTACCAATACGATAATGAAATGGTAGAAAAGTTAAGAAAACACTCCATTTGTTACAATTTCCCGTATCAGACATATTGTGTCAAAATTTTAAATCTTGATTAAAAAGACATATTGTCTTCTTAAATCTTCTAAACCATTTCGCACGACTCATAAAAAGACATGTGTTATTGGGTTAAGCATGATCAAATCAACACTGCAAAGAACCATGCATGAACCAAAGATCCATTTTGTCTGCTGTTTGGTCCGAGGCTGACAACACTAATCACAAAAATTGAGGCAAAACCTACATATGGTGTATGAGTGTATCAACTCCACTGTAAAACAAAAAATATAAATCATGATAAAACAACAAGTGGGCCGTCTTTAACATTATTAATGTTTTGATGATAAGTACACTCTATAGAATGTGAAGCAATAAAAAAAATATAATGTGATTAGTTGAAATCAAATCTTCATTTAAAATGCAGAATAATTTTTAGTGAATTCACCCTAATTAGAATTAGAGTCTTGATATTTGGAACCAGACTTTGTCATGGCTCGACTTTACTCTATTACATTACATTATGCCTTGGTCTAGTATTGTCATCATAGGCCTAGCCACCTAACTGCAACAAAACCAGGTCTAATTCGGAGGCCCAATATTCCATGCATTGGCTAACCCATACACTAAAATGTATACCCTATTGATGACCCATCAATTGCCAAAAATAAATAAAGGTGATAGAATTTGTAATTTTTGTTCATTCTCAATCAACTTTTGGCTTGAGTTTTCTCCTAAGGTTATCAATTATACCATAACATTAAAAGGGATTTCTGGGCTATCAAACAAATAAATTTGCTCTGTGTACAACTAGAATTGTGTGGCACTTAGACCCCTTCCTTCCTTTTATCATTGACTTGTTGAATCTCCAAAATCTTCCTCAACGTACAAAGGGGATAAGGAGGTACTCTGCATAGAACAACTGCAAAAGAAAACAAGGTTTCAAAAATTATGAAGTGTGGAAACTTTAAACCAACAGCTTTCTTAGACCTTTGATGTAAACATGAGATAACTTGGACCACATTCCTTAATAGCAATTCATGCTATACTTTGAGCTCATATTCTTATTTGTTCTTGGGAAGGGTGATGAGTCAGTTTTTCTTCTTTTTCTCCTTGTTTTTTTGGGTAAGCTACAAATTCAGATGCCCCTAGACATAGTTTGAATGACAGAGAACAAATTTAGAATTTTTGTATCATATTCCAAATAGCTAGGATAAGTCTTGTTCGAGTTTGGTCATGTAGGCTATGATGCATCCAATACCTCTGTACTGTGGTGCAGAACCATTGTTGATGGCTCTTGCAGCAGCAAATGTGTATTTGGGAATGCATTAGTGCATGATTTGCTTAAGTTTTGACTATAATATTAAGTGATCTAAAACATGTCGAACCACCTACCTTCCAAATGAACATGTAAAATGAAGTTATAGAAGCCTTGTTCATAAGATCAATGGATTGAGCACGGAACCAAAGAATGGAAGCAAGTATGAAGTGGCCTAGTACCTGCATGAACCAAATAGAAATTTAAATATAACAGAAATATAGTTGAATGATGATCACTATAACTGCGTTTGACTTACAGTGATAACCTTGCTAGATGTGAATGATGAAGAAGCTCCTATCACCATTGCAGTGCCATATGCCATCAAAAGCATGTAGATGCAAAGCCAAAATACCTGTCCATGGAATACCAGATTTGCAAGGAAAGTTCAATTTTATACAAGCTTTCAATTTAAAACAATGGAGGGTCAAGTTGGGTTTCTTTGGTTTTTACTAACTCTTTCTTGACCTAGGTGAACACTGAAGGACTGAATGCCAAAATCTCTATCCCCGTCGACGTCAGGTATATCCTGCTCAGTGTTATGTAAGGTAAGCTATAAATTTCAATGGAGAATTTAGTCATAAATATAGAAGTCTCTGCACAATGTTGTGCCTCACAAAATCAATAAATCTCTAGTGCATTTACTATAGTTGGGGAGGTAATACCTTAAATAATGCGATTACAGTGGAGAAGAAACACATGAAAACTGTTGCAAATACCACTGACTTTGAAAATACTACTGACCTCCCAAGTACATATTTCTGTATCCAAGAGAGAGAGAGAGAGGGAGGGAGAGAGATATTCTATAAATTCAAATTTCATAAAAATACAATAGCATAAAATTGAACTATAAAAAATTGAAACACCAAATGGTGTGATCATTTTCTAGACTGGTATGCAAAAAAAAAAAAAAATGATACCTGGATATGCACAAAGAAAGCAAGTTGGACAACCACAGCTCTCACAGATAGAATACATGCTGCAGCAAGAAATGCATTTCTTTTCCATCTGAGGAAAGGAAGCTAACAATTCAAAAAAGAAGAAAAGAAATAAGAAGGGACAGTAAACCAATGAACTTAAGGATTCATCCTCCTTTCCTATAAAACCCAAGTGTCAGAAACTCATCTCAAATAAGGTTCAAGAATTTGAAGGTTGAATTTGTATATATTCAGAAATTTAAATATGAAAATATAAGTAACATGTTTTCTAGTTTTCTCTTTTTGATATCTAATTTCATGGGTAATTGAAATTGCAAATCCCAGTTACCACAATAAGAAATGTCCAACTGAAGGACAAGACCAGAATCCTCTTGTTGATATAAGTTTTCCTTCTGAAAGAGTTTCCTGAAACTTGTCTACTTCACTTATATGACACTTGAAAAGAACAATTCCTCCTTTTTTTTCTTACATTTTTTCTTAATCCCTTGCAGTTGAGAATAAGATAATAATTAAACAAGGAAATGATGTGAAGAACTTACATCAATGGAATAAGCACTTCCAAGCAAACAGCTAATCAGAAGGGCATAAAACAAGGGTGGGGAATGAAACATATATCCCATAGAAAAGCTCTGCAAAATAAAACATAAAGGTCAAAGATTAGAGTTATATCCACAAGATTTTTCTATCAATGGATTTATCCCAACAACCCTTTTCCAAAGCTACACAGTTTCCTAAGTCTTAATTCAGGATTGTGGATCTAATATAAGTGAAAGCATGCAATATTAAGACTTATATACCATCAAGAAACAGGTGGCAACAATTACTATTCCAGTTCCCATAGAGAATTCTCCTGAAGCAATTGGTAGATTTGGTTTGTTAACCTGAATACAAACAAAAAAGTAGTAATGATAAGAAGAGAATAAAAAATGAAAAATGGAATTATTGTGTAAAGCATGTTCCAAAATGGTTGGCACCCTCTATTTATGAGTCCCACAAGGTGTCATTTGATATCCAGTTAGATGATTGCAACTGTCTATGTACAGTGATCATTGAACAATTAATAAATAGAATAAAAGAAACCTGATAGAAAATTACTCTTGAGTATTCAGCTTGATATTAATCTAACAGAGTTAGTTTATCTGTAACAATTGACATTGCAGATATTGTCTTATCTTGGAACATGTACTGAACATACCCTGTCAATTTCTACATCATACAATTGATTAAGTCCCACCACATAAATGTTCATCAATAATGCTGGTACTAAAGCCTGAAACAACAAATGTCAGTCAAGATAACTGTCGCAACTGGCAAGATATATTACTCACTAACCTTCAACCCTTACCTTCAGTAGTCCCATAAAAAATTTTCCAGAGAAATCAGATATTGATTGTATCGGAAGAAGGGAAACCGATGTTATTCCCATAATCTGACAAGTTGATAAATCAGTAATTCTTGTTTCCATTCTAGGTTTGCTTGATTTTATAGAATAGTCCATCCTGATAAGTGTGGAAAGAAAGAACTCACTGTGCCAATTATTGTATGAGGACGGGAAAACTGGTAGAATGCATTTAATATGTTCAAATGGCTTGTGAGATGAACCTCGGGCTTTGGTTTATGCTTGTTCACTGATACAGCAGGAAAGCATGATCTACTGATCAACAATCTCTCATCCTTCTCATTGTTATTAGTAATGCAGGCCAACACTGAGAATCTTTTCCAGTGATATCTGAATCTTTTATTGACACTGCATCCATTCAGAATAATTGGTATCTGATTCACTGGCATTTGAAATGGTTTAACAGTACCTGCCCAAATTCAAAGGTGAATTAATCATTAAACAATATACAGAGGTTGGTTCCATCAACCATGAAAAGCTAACTTTCTAGACAGCCATAAAGAAAGAAAATACAATATACCTATTATTGTCTCTTTTCCCTAAGCTGTCCATATAATAAGTAAACATTTGGAGTAATCTAGTAAAGTTTGCTTTTCATAAAATTGGAAAAGCTATATTAGTTGGTTTTGTCATCTAAATCTAGTTTCATTATTTTCTGATTTTCACTTTCTGGGTGTCTTACATCTCTACATTGTCATCTCTGCTGCATTCATCAACACTTGGAGAATGAGATAAACACTGATAAGAAGCTCTGCCATTCATCCCTTATTGTTGAAGGGGTATATGAAACATCTATAGGCATGCAGGAAAGCAAATCAGATATTTTATTAATTGACATGAAATCTGCAGTCAACTTTTCATAATCAATACTCATACAAGCCGCAAAATCTGAGCAATAGGATGGTAATGTTAATTGTTAGGAATGACACAGAACGAATAAGTTTTGAGCAGAGATACCAAGCCAGAAACCTGCAATATTTAACATGTTCGACATCGACAATGATGGCAACTGATTCAATGGATAGAATTATTAGTTTAAACCACAGGAATGGCTTTAAAATTGTTATGAAACCTAGCCCTGTCATATCATCAATCATAGTTATGCTAGTATGGGTATCATATCTACTGTCATACAACAAGTTTATCTGGACTATTGTGAATCGATCATTCTCTCTCTCTCTTCTAGAATATTGTCATACGGTCATACCAGAGATCAGTTTAGTACTTTAGGCCTTGTTTGTCTGCTGCACAATTTCATTTGTGCAAAAGGCTCCATTTGGAAGGAGTACAAATACAAAATATGTAAAATGCAAAACCTTATATTTTGTATTATTTTATATGTATTTGTACTGTACGTATTTGTACTCTTTCTAAACTGAGCCAAAATATCAAAGTACATTGAGTTTAGTGCAAACTCTGGTTTACTTTTGTTCTGAGTACTGTTTGTAGTGCAGATGAAGGAAGATAAAACCCAAAGCAAAAATTAATCACAAATTACAGTACGTCCTCACATTTGTACACCCATGCATTTGTTCTAGTACAAGTGAAATTGCACCGAATACTGAAAGAGATTTATTTGTTAAATTACCACCATGGTTTTCAAAACCGGATCGGACCGGAAAACCAGGAACTAGTTAGGTAATCGGTTCTGTTTCACCCTAAAACCGTTTTTGGCCAAAAACCGTAGATTTGGTCAGCAACTTTCTCACCCGGGCGGTAGAACCACGGTTTTTAAAACCAACCCAGAGACCGAACCGCTCAGTAGACCTGTTCATGGGCTGGGTAGCCCAATGGCTCGACCCACACCCCGGTCGGGCTTGGTCATGTAATTAGGCACACGGGCYTGACCTCGGGCCTAACACAGTAAGCCCGACTGTGTTTCGGGCCAGGCTCGGGATTTTATAAAATACATAATATGTATTTTATATATTATATAAAATATTTAAATAATATAATATTTATTGAAATATATATTTATAATTTAATATATACATTTTTTATTTTTTTCTTTATAATTTCTCTCTCTCTTCAGCCGCTTCAACAGTAGTAACAGGCTAACAGCATGGACTAAATTTCGGGCTCGGGCTCGGGCCCAGGCCCAGGCCCGGGCTTCGGGCTTTTTATGAGGGCCGGGCTCGGACCCAAGTTGTAGGCTTGATGGTCGGGCTCGGGCTCGGGCCTTAGAAAAATCTACTAATACAGAGTGAAAGCCCAACCTGACCCTACCCGACCCATGAACAGGTCTACCGGTCAGGGGTCCGGTTACCAAGTCGAACGGTCCGACCATTCGAACCAAACACTCAACTTGTTCTGACCAAAAAAATTAAAAAATGGTCAAAACCGTTCGACGGTTTGAACGATTAACTGCCCGGTTCAGCGGTTCATTGACCAAAATCAATGGTTTTGGGGGAAATCCAATTTTTGGGGAAAATGGAATGACCGGTTCCTGGTTTTTCCGATCTAGTCCGGTTTTAAAAACCATGGGTTGAACTGTCAACCCAGACAACAGTTTTTAGCCATTTTTTATTTTTTTAATTCAAAGCGGGTCATTCATTCAAACCGGACAGTTGAACAATTCAACTCGAGATCTGATCCTCGTAATGGTTCCCTGCCCGGTCCAGTTTTAAAAACCTTGGTTATCACAATTGGACATTAAAAATTTATAATATGATAAATTTTACATATCGTGAGATAAATGGGTATTAGATTAGTTGCATTCACAACCCTATCAGTCCTTGTTTTATTGGGTGGTTGTAAGAAAATGCTGCGACCATGTCACAACAGATGTGAATTTTATGGCACCTGTGAGACATAATATCAAAAGAAATAGTTTTCACAGCCAGATTTCTAGATACAATAACAAAGTTTTGATAAAATTGTTAAGTTAATAAATTCTATTTTCTTGAAAACCATAAAACAGGAGATTTTATATAAAAGAAATAATCTCATATATTTCTAAATCTCCCTAAATAGGCTTCAAAAAAGAAAATCTTCCTAAAAAGAATATTAGAATGTGCGTAAAGAAGGGGCCATTGTTGGGTGTAACAGTAAATCATGATTATATTTGGTTATCTTGCAATCCACTTTGGGTGTTGCATGTTTTGTAAATTAAAAAGAATGAATCCTTCGATTTCACTTTGTCATATTGTCACTTTAGAAGATTGCTAAATCCCTTTATATTCCAATAGACAACTTGAGCTCCAAAGGGTCTTCCAATTGAATTATGAAATTTAGGGAGGCAAAACAGCTGAAATTTATTTGCGTATTGCAGTGCATAAATTGCGTCAAAATGCTTCATATGATTAGATTCAATTTCACAAGGTGCCAACTGGCTAGTTGGTAACTTCTCTCTGGCTGACTGTAGTGGAGACTTGAAATTGAATCCCAATTTATATCTGCGCCCTATAATACATCCCATGGTAACATCTCCCAATGACAACTTTAGGAAATGTCAATATACGCTGAGATATGCATATGGATGTGGGGCGCCCGTGAGCTCATTGAATCCTGCCTGCATATGGTTCGGGGATTGTGATTAGAGGTGTAAATTGGGCCGTGCCATTCGCGACTCAGTATAAATTTGGACTGGCCCGGCACAACAGTCCGCGGGTCGTGTCAGGCTCAGTACGATCATGTGGGCCATGCTGGGCCTGGGGTTTTAGGTCCACGGGCCGGCACGGCATGGCATGACCAAGAAAGCCGTGCCACGACCCATATATATATTTATATAATATTATATAAATTATAATTATATAAATTATAATTATATAATATATTAATAAAATAAATATTTTTTTAATTTTATTATACTAATTTATTTAATTATTGTATATATAAGCAATTATATACACAAAATTCATATAATATTAAAATTTTAAGTTTTTTGTCAATTTTTTTTAAATAAATAGCTTTGGCCCCATGCACGGCCCAACTTGGCCCAAGGCTCGGCCCACGGGCCAGCACTTTGCACGGGCCGCCCGCGGGCTGTTTCGCCCTGTAATTGTGGTCATGGTTTTTAAAACTGACCCGATGACTGAACCGGTCAGGGGTCCGGTTGCCGGGTCGAACGGTCAAACTATTTGAATCGAACACTCGGCCTATTCTGATAGAAAAATAAAAATAAATAAAAAAATTTCAAAAAAAGTAAAAAAAATTCAAAACCATTCGAATAATTAACCACCTGGTTCAGCAGTTCGCTGATCAAAATCAACAGTTTTGGTCTGGTTCAGTCCGGTTTTGAGAACCATGGTTGTGACAGATTTTAAATGGCCTCATATTTTACATTTTATTTTCAAAAATTGAAAGAAAAAACAGAAATTAAGTCCAACCTTTTTACCCATCAATGCAACTATATGTGTTAGATCCAAATATAAACCAATCCAATTTACTCAATTGACTATAACTAAAATCTTGGTGATGGGTATTAATATTTTCAACTTGTTGATAACCTAATAAATACTGATTCATCAAAAAAGATAACCTAATAAATACTGAATTATCTGTCGCATAGTTGGTTTTTAAGTCGATTTATTCCTTGAGTCATTTAGCCTGCATTTGACATTTCTTATTTTAAGGATTCATCTAGTTAAAATGCCCCTGTGAATACTGAATTTTTAACAACAAAAAGAAGATGAATCCTTAAAATAAGGAATGCCAAATGCAATTTTGAACTCAATTTACAAGAAGTGCAAATACAAATATATACAATACAAATACGAGTTTAACAATACAAAATATAAGATTTTGTACCGTACTGAGCATTATTTGAAAAAAAAAAAAAAAAGCCAATGACCTAATAATCTATTCCGTTGAACTATTAAAACCTTGTCAATAGGTTACGGGTTAGATATCAAATCCTTTATTTTGCGGTTTTTAGCCATTTCTATTTATGAATTAATAGCTTCAATGTATGTAACATTAAAATTCAAAAACATTGCTTACTTCATAATATTAACTTTTTATAAATATGTCTACGAATCCTTTATTCTTTTTTCTTATCATTATATTTGCTTTTTATTAAATTAATTATCTAATCAAATGCATAGAATATTATATTAATACAAAATTAAATTTTGGGGAGAAGTTATACTTTAAATTAATAGCTTCTAATTTAATATTATAGAGTATTTTGGTTAGGAATGACCAAAATAATTTTTCTACAATAGAGCATTGAATTAACACTAAATTAAATTACGATAATTAATAAACATTTCGGTTAATATTGGTAATTGAATTCTTAAGGTCTTTTCCTGTTAATTACAATTGAACTCCCAACGTCTTTTTGGTTAATTTTATCTTCTAAAATACATAAAAAGAGAAATTTTCAATGGGTCAAAACCTAGCCCAATATAGTTGAAATTCTTCAAGTTAGAAACCCTAGTTCCTAATACTTGCTAGCTGCTTTTAAGTCCAATTTATGGACAAATAAGTCGCCCAAAAATTTGGGGTTCATAGTTCAGAATCTCTTTTTTTTTTAATTTTTAAAAGAAATTTCAGTTCCAAATCAGTGACATTTTCCTCCAATTTTCTTAAAAAAACTGAAAATAATATCTGAAATATGTTTGAACAAGAAAATGAATAAGAGCAACAATAACAATTGTTAATGTTACTTGATAAGAAGAAAGCATATCCCTAAAAGATAATATCTCTATCTTATCATTTATCACAGATAAAGCTGGGAAAAAGAACTAGATGACGAATTACGAGGTTATGCAAACGCTTCATGAATCAGAGTCTAGGCTTTGGGTTTGATCAGAAGGAAAAGTTATAAAAAAAAAAGGATAAATGATCTTGCTTACCTTTGCTTTGATGAGCATTAATCCTGGCTCTTATTCTCATTGAGGAACCTGTAAAATTGTTTACCAAGAAGAAGAAATCAAACATGCAAACTCAAAATAGAAACCCAATACTTGAAAATGATTATAAACAAATAAATGAACAATGATTCTTGCCTTGTTCTTTAGATGGGTAATTTGTAGAACAGAAGGATGAGCATGCATCTGCCCAAACCATGGCTTAGTTTCTCTCTCTCTCTGTGTGTGAATGTTGTAGTAGAAGATCTAGTGTGAGAAAGCTTTCAGGGACAACCCGTAAATTAATGCATTTGAATGTTGAGCATGTATTTCTACCAAAAGATGGTATGAACAATGAAGGAAACCTTTCTTTCCATTTGTAGAAGCTCTGGGCAGAAAGACCAAGTGGCATATGTATTGATACGAGCTGCTCTGTTCTGACAACAAAGTTCAATTAGGCGTTGCATGTTTGAAAGGAAATTCCAAATACGGCCATGGCGACCCGCCAGGTGAAAAGATCAAAAGAACTCTGAATCTAAACCAAAACCATTGATGATATTTTTGTGGATTCTCACCATTGAATGCGTCCAAATTGAAAGTTTTTGAAATGGTTGGGTTTCGGGTTTAGCTTTTCTCCGTAGACCTTTCTGGATCCATGACTTACCTACTCGACTACGTCTCTATACGGAGAAACGTAGCCCATCCGATTATCGTTGTTTTTGTTATGTTTGTAATCAATTGTAATATAGCGTATTTGTAGGGACACGTCCGATGCATGGGAAATTTTAAAAGATTTAATAATTTTATTTTTTATTTAATATTGATTTATAAAAAATAATAATTGTTAATTGAATATAAATAAATATTTTTTAATAAATTTAGTTTTATTAACAATTTTATTTTTTTTTATTTTTAAATAAAATTTTGTTTACTTTTAAAATAAATAAAAATAATTATAAAAGCTAACATTTTTATTGACTCCACTCATAATTAACAATTATATAGGAATGACAATGGAGTGGATTCAGGGCAGGGCACCCCATCCCCAGCCCCCTAGTGTCATGCAAATTCAGGGCAAGGTAATCAATCACTTCTCAATGTCAAGCGAGTTTAGGGGCAAGGCACCCCACTCCTCGTCAAGGATGGAGAATCCTCGAATTTCCCTGCCCCGTCCCTAATATTGGGCGAGTTCAAATAAAGGTGTAAATTGGGTCGTGCTGGGTCAGCACGATATGACCTGCATGTGGCCCGCACAAAGTGCAAGTCGTGTCATGTTAGCCCATGAGGCATCCCAGGCCGTGCCTCCCTCCTCTAGGATAATTTGGGAGGTCGGTTCGGCACGGTCCATGGCTCGAGCCCACACGGGCCCATGCCATGTCGTGGGTCGGGTTGGTCGATGGGTCGGGCCTTAGGCTAGGCCATGCTGCATAGCAAGCCAATCATAAGGCAAGGCAACCACTCCCCGTCCAATGTTTTTAAAATTGGACGGGATAGAGAACCGTTCTAGGGTCGAATGGTCTGTCTATCGAACAGATGACCCGCTCTCACAACAAAATGAAAAATTAGAAAAACAGAAAAAAGGCCAAAAATTGTTGTTCGGGTTGACGGTTCGATTGCCCAGGTCAGCGGTTCGCTAACCAAATAAACGGTTTTTGGACAAAAAGTGGTTTTGAGGTGAAACGATGTCCGGTTCCCAATTTTTTCAGCCTAACCATCTGGTTTGATCGAGTTTTGAAAACATTGTCCTCGTCAACCCAATATTTAATTTAATGATAGAAATGATCAAAATGATATATTGAGTATCAACCCCATGGTAAATTTCTAAAAGTACACTAAATTGTCTTTAATATTCAAAATTGTAGATGAGGCAAGATCAGCAGGTAGTTCTTCATCAAGAACTTGTGATTCTTCAGCAAGAATCGAATGGGGTAATGAACACAACTTCAAAATTGTTTCTTCTAGCAAGAAACAATATCAAGATCAAATCTTGATCAGATCCAAGAATTGGAGATCGAACAGGGTAGGGCGGCAAGAGCAGGGAGAAAAATAACTGAAGGCAAAAACAGTTAAACTGAATTGTCTTTTGTGTTGGACTCTTTAAAGAGATAAGAATAATGCCTTAACTTATCTGCAGATAAAGATTAGCTATTCCTAATCAAATTAGGAGTTCCTTAATCCAAATCTCTATTTGGATCTGGACTCCTTAATATATGTTTTATATTTTAAATTTAATTTTTTTAAATGGGAAAGTAGGAAAATTCCCATATTTGTTAGTCTAAAATATTTTATATCATAGATTTAACTTTTGTAATTTATTTTTTAATAATATCATTGTAATTTATGAAATTTAAAGTTAATTTTTAAGTTTAAATCTTTTGAACAAACAAATTAAACCGAAAATAGACCCAAATCGATACAACCCGAGTTGGTGGGTTTTCGCTAATGGTCAATTGGTTTCGAGTGACAAATTGCGGACTTAATCAGATCAATTTGGTTGGTAAAACAACCTGCAACTGAACTGAACCAATCATTGAACACTCCTAATTTCAACTAAATTTATAGCAAACGTACAGTTATTGAAAATAAATTTATAATGAAAATATAATAGATATATAATAAAAATACAATAATTACAAAAATATAATAAATATAAAAAATATACTAAATTAGTCAATAAATAGTGTAATCGTAAATGTTTTTTATATTATTTAGCTATTTTTAATGTTTTTTATTTAATATTTTTAGTTATTGAAATATTTAAATAATATTTTATTTTTTAATGTTAAATTTTTATTATTTGATTAACATTTAAGTTGAATAATTTGTAAAATTATAATTCATATTGTTACTGCATAATTTCATGATGAATTGTGTAAAAATATTGAATTATTAATAATATGAGTATTATTAAATCTATTAATCTTTTTTGTTTTGGATAAATATTTTAAATTTAGTATATAATTTTGTTATAACATTGAAATAGTTCTAATTTTTTTTTTTAATTGAAACTTTCTTTAGATAGATATAGATAAAAAAGTGGGGGAGATGATAAATAGGAATTAGAGATATTTTAGGAGAGAATCTCTCTACTAAATTAGAGATAATTTAAGAGATAAATAGGAGTTAGAGATAATTTATGTCATGGATTCATTTTTCATTATAAAATGAATGAAACCCGTGGCAAAAATTTTATAACCAAATGTTCTCTTATGGTTCATTTTTGCCCATTCTTGCCCAAAATGAGTAAGAAATGAAAAAATGAAACCCGTGGTAGGGAACCAAAATTGGCCTCAATTACTCAGCCCATTCCGTTCATCTCTCTGTGTATTAATTAACTTTGACTGACTGGGTTGTGATTGACGATCCCTCCCCCTCTCAATGCCAGAAAGTTTTGTTCTGGTTGGACTACAAATTTTTTTAAACGAGTTCAGATTTACTCCCAACTAATGCTCTTGGCACTGTTCTAACCCAACAAGTCATTATAGGTGCACATCAATAACATCGCCTCCTGAATAACAACGGGAGATGTTCCCAATGTGTGACTGCAGTGGCCTACTGGAATAGCAAGGGCACAAGTGAAACCAATATGTAAAACTTGCATGTATTATTCATATGATCATATGTGCAACATATTGGGTTCAGGTTGGATTGGTTTCCTTCCCGAAGACCTGAACCCTGACACAATCCAAACTTCCATCGGTTTCATATTTACAATCCTAACCCAATTCAAGTTGCACTTTTAAATTTTAATGATAAAGAGCTCAGAGCTGCAACTTGGAACGGGCCCAACCGAACTCGAATTCAATCCTCACAAAATAGTGCTTACATTATTCTCACAGTCACTTGCAATCGTGTATTGAAGATATCTCTGTATTTAACTATTTATATGTTTTTACTTTTATTCATGGAGAGATATTCCCATGCATGGTTGCAAGTGGCGGTGACTACGGTGTGAACACCGTTTTGTGAGAACTGCGCCCAGCCAAGTTTTCAATACAGGTGCACAACTTTGGTTTGGACTTTAGGCTCTAGGTTGGGCACCTGCCTAAAAGCTCAGGCTTGACAACAATGGGAGTTGGGCTTGGGCTGAGTTTGTACCGGCCCAAGTTGAGCCCAACTGCTTATGTAGAATATATTTATTGGATAGTGCCCATTATGTGTTTATGCTCTCTGCAAAAGAATTTCTTTAGAAGCTTTCGTCAACCATCTCTATCCCCACCCTCCATGTCCTAATATTGTTTAACTCAATCAACTTTTCTCAGTCCTCTGAATATTTCTCAATATTTATTTTTTGTCTTCACATTAAGAAAATCTATTTTTTTTTTTAATTTCTTGTAGAACCTCTCTATCATACATTCATGTCCCATTTTCGCTAATAATTTATTATTAATGATATTTTGATAGAATAAATGTCATAATTATGCTCCTCTAATTGAAAAAATATTTGCTTTTTGAATTAACTCAAATTTCATTACTTAAAATAAGTACTTATTTTAGTGCTGGGACAATATAATAAATAAAAATTCAGTATATTCATGTTGGCAAATAAACTCAGAATTGAGTGGCTTTTTTAATCATATTTCTAAGACTGTACCCAATGTTTTGTTTATTTTTCAAGGACTGCCCCTATTGTTAAAAGGCCGGTAGAATTCTATCATTTTCTCCACCAAATGTTAACTTGCAGCGGCAATTATTGTGGAATTGAGGGATGGCAACTTTCCTCGTAAAATCGGGGCCCCACCCCCGAACAAGCAGGTTTTCCCCAACCCTAAACAAGGGCGGGTGGGGATGGGGAAAATATTCGTTCCCTGAACTGGAGACGGGGCAGGGATGGATTTCGTATATAATTCCCCAAACCCGAAGGTAAAATTAATAAAATATCTCTAGGTTTAATATTGATATTTAAAATATCTTTAAGTTTTCCCTAAATTCTTAAAATCCTATAATCCCATAATTTCATTTTTCAAGTACCCCTAAAGTATCATAATTCAATTCCTAAATACCCCCAAATTCCTATATTATAAGTGCAAATTGTCAACAAAATAAATAA